TCCCTACAGTTGATACGTGTTGTTGGGGGAAAAGCATTTTTAAAAAAATATGATTTCTTAACACAAATTTGGTTTATTAGCTGTGCCCTGTAATTCTGTGCATGAGTGTTTTGTATCTGTCCACAGAGTGAATGTATGGTGAAGATGCCTAACACACTAATACCTCATTATGAAATACATTTAAAATATACTTTAATTTACTTTTTTCTTTCTTGTGATTTAGGTGTAGGCAAGAGATTGCACTCAGAAAAGAAAAAAAAGTACATACTAAGACAGAAGAAAGCAAAACATTTTTTGAAAATGCTCAGCTGAATGGTAGTAGGGATGAGAATATCTTTACTTCCAGTGAAAAGGTTTTTATTTCTACTCCAGTTTCTTTAATAAAATACTCTTCCCTTTTAATTTTAATATACTTGCTAGTTTGTTCTTAAATAATTTTATACTTCAGAAATACATGGACACAAACAGTCACTGAAAATGTATACTACTTGAACTCTGGCATATTATTTGTATCGTGGATCAACAAGAACAAAATCTGTATTCATACAAAGTAACACTATTTTTCTCCAAATGGAATTTGAGACTAATGCAAAATCCATGGAAAAGACTGAGAAGCAAAAAAGACATTGTATTTGTTCTGGGTCTCAGTTTTTCTCTTCTTCATCTCTCCGTTACATAACTGCATACTGTTTTGTTCCCGCTTAAACATTGTTTTGAAGGCATGCGAGGATTTCAGCTGTCTTTTCTGTCTCTTCCTGAGGAAGATAATTGCATTACTGATATTCTTAAAGCTTACCTCCACTTTCCTCTTTGTTATGGCAATTCTGTCCTTGTTTTCATCATATCATTTTGCTCTCTGTGTATATTTTTCTGTTCTTGTTCATGTAATATGTCTTTTTTCCTAATTATTAATCCCTCTTGAGTCACCTTTTCTAGCTCTAGCAAATAGTTTTTCTCTTTGATTGTTTTAGTTATTACCAAGAATCAACTTCTTTGCGACAGTAGCAGATCTGAAGTAGTTAATCTGTTGTAAAATTAGCTTTAATAGTATATACTCACTAGTTGAATGCCCATTGAGGAGTATAAAATCAAAATCTCACAGTAAACCTGTTTTTTCTGTAATATAATGCTGAATTTCAAAGTTAGAAAATAGAGCTGGACTGTTGGACACATCAAGAATTTAATATGATAGTTAATAAAAATAGTTTAGTTTTGAAATATATGAAGGTGTAATATTTCGTTATTTTTCAGTTTTTTGAGTTAAATGCGGTAACAGGAAAAGGACTGAGTGCACTTTCTTTACCTTGCTTGTGGATAGAAAAAGCTGAAGTCCTGATTCAGCTAGGCATGTATCAACCAGCAAGACTTCTCCTTTCAGAGGCCCACGCTGCAACTCAGGTATATCAGAAATAAAATAGAAAAAAAAAAGTAGCAAAAATGTTCATTTTGATGCAGTTGTTCCTCGTAATAATAGTCAAATTGCAAAACCAAACCTTCCCACTCTTGCCCCAAATCTGTGTCATTTGTGTTTCAACATACATAAGGCGTGCATTTATATCTGTGGCACTTAAGCTCAATTTTGTGGGAATTGTCTGAAGATTATTTCAATTTTTGAAGTAGTGTTAGCATCTTTGTCTGCCTTGCAATGACCTTGGAATATGTATGTATATCCAAACCTTATTTCTTAAAATAGTTTAGAGTTGTTGAACATTTGCTTGTAAGAGGTAGGGAACATCTAGCTCGGTCCTCTCAACATTTTGATCATTTGAAAGTCTAGTTGTGTCATTTTGAATTTTATTATGGTTTCACTCCTGTGTTTAAAAAACCAGCCACTGACACTGAAATTATGACTTAGAATTCTGGCAGATCGCAAGTAAGTATCCATATATTCCACGAAACAAATCCACATTGTCTCATTATTATGAAGGGTTTACATTAAAGATATATATCTACCGTTCTCCATTATAGCTCTCTTCTTGGTTATATGGGTTGTTGAAACATAATTATTGCAATAAATCCTTTACTTTTAAAAAAGTATAATTGATATCCTGTTATTCCACATAATAATTTTTTTCATGTAAGTAAAAACTGCCTATGTATATTTAGCGTGAATCATTAGTACTATGAATAATATATGAATAATATATTCATTAATAGTACGTCTCTTACTAAATTCATGCTTTAATATTGTACATTGTGAAAAGTTCAAAAGACACTATGGAGGACAATAATTTTAATGATATAATTTCTTACTAGAATCCTCACGTGTCTATGCTAGTGTACTACCTATATTGTACGCTACATTTTTCTCTTGTATACTACTAGTGTATAGTTTATAACTAGCATAAAGTAGCATTGTAAATTTATTGGAGCTCTAGTGTATCTAGATCCCAGTCCACTAAAAAATTTTTCATCACCACGTTTCTTCATCAGATACTGACAAATGACAGCAGACATATACATACTGAATAGCAGAAAAATAGCGTAGTTGCCTTGTGGGGTAGAAGATATGGGAACACAAAGAAATGTAAAGTATATTTGAAGATTTGAACTTCTTGATATGAAGTAGACCCTTCATGTTTTTGAAAAAATGAAGTAATATAAGGAGTAACTAAGAAATTCTACAGATAACTGACTAAATACCGTTTGCTTCTTATTTCTGTGCCTATTCATAAGTTTAATCTAAAATATGAATAGAAATAAGTATGAATAGTAGTAGTGGATCTTTTGTACATAAGTCATGTATCTTTCTTCCTAGGAATTGAGGGCTTTGTACAACGTGTCAAGGTGCTTGTACTTATTTGCTGTATTGGCTAACCTAGAAAGAAACCACAGACAAGCTAAAGCACTCCTTGAGAAAGCACAGCTTCTAGGAGGAGATGAACAGTTTTGGTACAACAGTACTCTTAGTCTAATAGAAGCAATTCTAGAGGAAGAGGGGGAAGGAAAACAGAGCATGGTAAGTGAGTTTTTTGGTTTTGGTGGTTGTGTTTTTGCAGCAGTGTTGCCTCTCTTTCAGTGAAATGTTAAGGTCTTTGCATATAAATAAAAGCAAAAACAGGTGTTAAATGCAGTTAATGTTGTATTCTTTGTTGTGTGTTCAACATATATGAATTACAGATTCCAAACAGATGCAGGCCAGTAGGAATGAAATTTATCCACAATAGTTTAGGATGTTTTTATGGTAAGATGTATGTTCTTCTATTGAAATAAAAGCAATTGTAATCTAGCATGTGTAACTAAATCCCAGAGCTCTGATTCTCTGGGTTAGAATGCTTTTGTACTCAGACAATTCTGTTAACATTGATGTGTTTATCTTTCATATTTAATAGAGATTGTAACTTTCAGTATTATTTCCTAGTGTGCACTTACTTTTCAAATTTTTCAAATAGTTTTACAAATATTATTTCTAGATTCTGAAAGATGCTACTGTAAGTATAATACGTGTATTTATTAAAAACCTTTTCCTATTTGACCCTTAACATCAAAACACTGATTTACTGTTCAACCCTTAACTTTCATGAGTGTCAGCGTAACTGTAATCTTGTGTCTGTGATTATCTGTCCTTTATTGATGATCTGTACAAGTCTGTTTTGTATAGAGGGATAATTTTTGATATGGGCTACACTCACATTTACAATCATTGAAGGACAAAATATGTGGCTACCAATGAAAGTATTTATTAAGATTTTATGTTTTACCAATATAGCTATTAATGAAATACGTGAGGTGGTTTGGGTTTGGTTGGGGTTTGTTTGTGCCATATGTCTGACCAACATGACTGCGGCAGCAAAATTTTTGAAGAAGTACAAATGTGTAGATGAGGTCAAGAATCAGTCATGTTGGGGAATATTATGGAAAGATACTTAATGTGTTTTGCACCAAATTTAAGCTTTCTAAATGAAGGTTTAATATTATACACAGACATTGAAAATAGAATTATGAAATTTCTAATGTTACCTGCAGGCTTGTGAGATACTGGAACACACTGTAAATGTGCTCAGATCTGCTTTACTGAAGAGACCTAACAGACAATCAGAGCTGGGTTTTATAATTGCATCCCTTGAATCCAGGTAACTTTCTTTTCATTAACATATGCCCAGCCTCTACTATGCAGCTACATTGCAAATATGTAGTGATTTTTACCATTCGTCTTTATTTTAGTATGGTGCATTCTATGCATTTTCAAATACTTTTCCTCGAAGTAATTTAAGTTTATTCTTTTTTTTAAATTTAAATTTCCTTTCCAATTTCTTCATTATTGTGTGTAACCCTACTACCGATTAAGTTAGTAAACTAGTTCGGATACCACAACCTATTGTGCATAGTTTGTGGTGTAGGTTACCCAAAAGAGCAAGATGCATTTGCCTATGCAGAGGTATCTGTTTGAGCACAGATATTCCCACAACACTATTGTAGTCTGAAGTATTGACCTGCTTCTCTCCTTGACATGATCCAGGACGTGGTGAAAACTAAACAATGGTTTTGGTTGCATTGAAATCTAAGCACAGAGAGCTTAAATTGTGTTGGTAAAAGGAGAGAAGTATATAACATTTACGCTTCCTTCTCTTCCCAGAAATGTGAAACTTTTGGATTAGAAAGGGAAGACTAATAGTCTTCTCAGTTCAACTATGTTTTGAAACTGATTAGGCCTAGGCAGTTTGAATAATTAGACACATGGAAGAAGTGACACCTGAATTCTAACCTGAAAATATAATATTTTGATTTTTTTCAGGACTTACCATAATTGCTAGACCACAGATTTAAAATATGAAGAGGCTTTTTCTAGACTTATTATGATTCAAAGGATAGCCCAGAGAAATATGTCTGTTTTCAAACACAGCCTGTGCTTTCTGACAGCTATCTTATACTTAATTTTTATTCCTAGGAAAACACTTATTCAGATACGTTTTGCCCAAGATTGTGTGACAATTAATGCTGAATCTTGTCAGTTGCCACATATGCTACAGGAATCTTGCAATAAATTGGTTCAAATTGAGAAGGACTTATTTCATTACGGGCATAAAAACTGCAGCGCTGAGATACTGCTAGAATGTGCAAATATTCACAGGTGAGATGGTACTTCTGAAAATTTTTATTTAACTAATCCAGAAAGTCTATTGTTTACATTTTTATAGTCTAATTAAAGATTGAGAAGAGCAGATAATATTGTCAGGTTTTATATCTTGGTGTTACACATCGGTTTGCATTCTTGATGTGTTCTGTATTAAGAAAAATACTGTAGAATCAAAAATTTTCAGTGAAGGCAGAGTTAGTCTTACATGGTACCAGTGATTTTTGTACTGTTTCTGAGGTCAAAACAAAGTATGAAGGTCTCTAAGTCAGCTCTTTGTCTTCCCATTTGCAAAGGCATTTTAGCAGCCACACCAATCATGCTCAAGTATTTATAGCCTTTTCAAGTTCTTGCTGTTGAAATGGTTCTCTAGAAATTGCTGTAATGTCAAAAAAGCAAAACACGGTATGCCTTGACTCCCAGCTGTTTCCACGATGTCCCCTTAGAAAGACTGAGTTATGTTTTGAACCTGGCTATTCTGCCATTTTTTTCCTGGTGAATACATAGTCTAGAATATTATCTGCCCTTCTTCTCTTTGTGTCTTAGGATCGTCTTGCATTGCAGCAGTACAGTTCCAAGAATAACACCTTGAAAAAATAATATGCGAACATTCACTTTTCCTGTTTGAAAATTTTGAAAACACATGTACATAATTAATCTGTTTTATCAATTTATTAATTTAATCTATTACTCTCATCTATTACTCTCATCTATTAATCTATTTTATTACATATATTCAATAGTGTTGATAACATAAAAGTAAACACTTTCTTATGTTCGTCCCTTTGGGTTTATGGTTTCTTTTTTTTGCAGGATGATTGCCAAGCGGGAAAGAAATGAAGAGGAAAAATGTAGTCACTATCTAGATGCTTACAACTTAGCTCAGAGGGCAGTATCCAGAACAGAAGAAGTGTTTCATAATGTTTGTAGCTTATTTGCAGTTCATGAGGTATATTTATGTATTTTTTGATACTCATGGAAAAGCAATCTAATGTAGTTGTTCTATTCACTCATTCTTGGATAATTCCTGGAAGCCTTGAATGAGAATATTTTCCTGTAATGACAGGCATTGTATTAATATAGAAGGAAACACTGTATATCAAAAGAATTTACAATTTAAAAAGGGAAGAAGAGAAACAGAAATGAGAGGATTTGTTTTGTCTTTGTAAATTTTATTTAGTTCTGAAATTTATCCAATAGCCACAAAAGAAAAAGTCTAGACTTGGAGATATTTTTGATTCTCTAAATACTTCACAAGTTTAAAATTATCCACAATAAAGTATTTACTTCTCAGGGGGAAAAAAAAAAAGGTTACACAGAACATTATGTAAATAAAGAAAGCCTGTCTTCAAAATAGTGTATTTTGGGTAATAAAAGCCTGCAGGCCGCTTTGCTGGTGTGTACCATTATTATACTCTAACATCCACCTTTTTTTTCTACTTTATGTTTTTTAGAGAGCAAGTATTTTTGTGCAGCTACCAAAACCATTAATATTAAAATTCTGGTTTATGTACACATTTGTAACTCCTTTGGAATTAGATATTTGTACCAGGTACATAAAATATGAAAAGGAGAAACCCAGGTGCTCTTTTTCTATGCACCTACTTTGATTGCTTTGTAATATATTTGACATTGAAGTTTGTCTCTTAAATTACTTAAATATCTTCGTAGCAATATTTCTGATCTGTTGAGGTGATATTGTTAAAATGTTTGCTTCGTTAATTAAATACAACATTCTAATTTCTTAACAGGTAAATTTGCAAAAATATTTGAAATTAGAAATCTACTTTATTTTCTTTTGCATTTCAGACTACAAGTAGCAGTATCCCATTAATGAGGCAACTAGCTAATAGGAAAATAAATCTTGTAGAAATTCTGTTGGATATTTTGCATCTGGTTGTTACTGAGAAAAAGCTTAACAAAATGGGGAAAGCATCATCTCATAAAATTGTGGAAGCATGCATCAGAAGAACTATTAAAGATGATGCAACAGAACAGGTAACGCAAAATGTTTAGTCCTGTAATTAGCATATAAAAGGTATAACAAAGTTTCTCAGGGATGTTTTCCATAGCAGAACTACTTTCACTTCTGAGGAAAGGGGTCCCCAGACCATTCAAGTAGTTTTGCAGCAATTTCAAGTGTGTGTTTTTTTTCTTGGGGATGGTTTATTGGGGTTTGGTTTGGTTTTCTCAAAAAGGTTTTGTTTCTCAAGCGCAGAGAGTTAAAAAGCACTAAGAGCAGCAGGAAAATTACTTGAGGCCTTGTAATTAACGGTGGGCGGAAGGGTTGCATTATTGTCTCTTCTTTTTGAAATGGTTAGTTTTAAGCAGAACTGCCTAACTGAGCTGATGAAGAACATCAGACACACCCCACTGGAACAGAGCCGTAATTCTTGCCCATTATTCAGTCTCTGACAATGACGATACGAAATGTTGTTGCAGGAAAGCACAGTATCCCCACCGTTTTCCACAGTACCCTCCCCTTATCCTATGTTTTTCCTTAGCACTGGCTGTTGATTGCTTATGGATGTTACAGTGTACTTCTTTTTTAATGAATTGTTAAAGAATTTGTTTATCTCTTAAAGACAGCTCATTTGTAGTTGAAAGTGTGATCAGATTTAACAAATGTTTTTGTATGTACATATGTGTGTTACATTATTTTAAAAATTATGTTTCTGTATGTGTGGGTATATAGGAGCAAATAAACATAAATATATATTTTACCAGGACTGGAAGCATATGGAATGCACAGTGAGTCATATTACACTGGCTCAGTTAGCAAGCGTACAGAATCTGTGTAAAGGCTGTCCTGACATCAAATCCAAATGCCTGTATCTCACTGGAAAAGCTCTTCATTTACTTGCCATTAGTGTAGATCCTGTACATTCAGAGATCTACTGGAAGCCAAATGTTATGGTATGCATTCTTTTCTGCATTTAAATTTGTTCCTGTGTGTAAAGTTTGTCTGCCACAATATTTTTCTGTATACACTTGCATAATAGTACTCTTTATTTAGAGCTAGGTTTTACATGTTGCATGCAAGCCATAATAAAAACATATACTGAACCAGGTAGTTTCAGAAAAATGCTTCTGCCTACATGCCATCCTTCTGTAGATAATTTTTTGATACTTTCCTGAGGTGTGATAATTACAATATCTTCAGAAGAGAGAGAAAAAAAATTCCTTGCATGCCTTAAAGGGCATGGAGAGAGGTTGGTCTCTGAATCCATGCAGACAAGAATTAATGACTTGTAGATTAAAAGCTCAGATTCGTAAGTTCCTTTTGTGTTGTAGTAAGAACACCATGTAAGAAAAGGAAAGCTGATTGAGTCATTACAAATTCAATTATGAATTAAAGTGTTTAGAAGAGATTAACTGAGGACAAATATCAGAACAAAATCTTAGAGGTTGTATGGAGGGCCTTTTTCATTTCTGTTAGTCATATTGTCATCAGAACATACTAAGAAATTCTGATGCCTGATAATATTGCTAAATCTCTCACCATCAAGGGATTCATATAGTGAGATGATTTCTTTTAAGATGAGTTCCATTTTCACCTAGATTTTCACAAAAGAAAGGAAGCCAGCCATACTTAATGGAATGATTAATTATTCTTTTTTTATACTGTGACGAGTAGGAAGAAGCTAAATCAGACATCGCAAAAACCTACTTGACTTCAGCAGAATGCAGTGAACAGGAAGTGACAGACAGCGGTTCACTGACTAATAAATATCAATATGATAAGTATAGGAGTAAAATACAGGAATTAAAGGTATGGTAGGATATATGCTTACATTAGAGTTTGAGTGCTTCTTTTTTATGGAGAAATAGTCGACTTACCTTATCAGTTCTGTTTGAACTGATAATGGAAATGTTTGTAACATAAATTTGATCTCACAAAAGCAAAATGTTTCCAAAGCACCCCCAGAAAAACAGCCTTCTATCACTGCTCTGCTGTGTATCTCCATCCTGCCCCTCAATACCTGCTGTGGGAGCTCCTGATTGAGCTTTCCCAGTTGCTCCCAGAAAGAGATTTCTCCTTCAGTGATTTCCCACTCATTGAGCATGTAGCAGCCAGGACAAGATGAACAGGCAGCTTGCTTTCTGCATCACAGACATGCCTTTCTGAGGGAGCATTTTGCATGTTGCAAACTGGAAACCAAGACAGGAATAACTTCCATCACAAATGATTTGTAAAATTCTAACAAAGTTTAAGTTGTATTGTATGGTGAGCTGATCTCTGTTAACTACTGCAGTTCAAAGCATGCTAGGAATTGGGAATGTATAGTTTGTGTTGCTAATATAATCAAATACATAAGATCAGAGATTTGTGGGTGTATTTGTATTAAATATAGTTAACTGTCAATGGAACTAACTGAAATTGTACTAAGAATTGACAGAAAATTCATGTGTTCTGAACAGCTCATATTGCTTGGAATTTAAATACTGTTCTGCAAAGTACACATTTTATAGTAAAGAAAGTGTCTTACTAAAACATTTATTTTTTAATGTATAACAGATGTTGGTGTCTTCTAAATATTTAATATGGGTTTGCATATTCTGATCACATATTAAGTATAATATATAAGTATATATACAAGTATATAGAAGTATAAATTAATTATAATATGTAAGCCTTAAAAAGGAGAAACAGCATTAAAATTAGTCATGAAAAAGTAATACTTCTCTTTTCTAACACACTAGTAATCTGTATACTTATAACAACTATTTAAATATTAATATGTATTTTTATATAAACTTTTTTTTGGTCATCTAGAAGGAACGTAAGTTGGCTCAGAAATACCTTTCTCAATCCAGTGAAGCTTTGCTACGGTGTATGGATATTGCATTCAATTATAATATTACTGAGGTACTGGCTTCTGCTAGTTTTGAAATGGTTGAATGCTTTCGACAATTTGATCCATTTTCAGCTAGCCAGTTTTTGGCACTTCATCAGGTAATGCAGCTAATGTATTGTGCTTCTTACAAGTATAAAAAGGGTGGTTTTAGTTACATAAGCAAAAATGTCTATTCATATAGCCTTAAAATTGGTCATACAGAACACAATGTATGGATACGTAAAAGAACTAGTGAGTAATACAGATAATCAAATATATGATGTTTCGTGTGTTCAAAATGTTTGATCAGTGGCTTTTTAACAATTCTAGTATCTGTTGTGTTTGACTTGATGTTTTCATTGATGATTGCATACGTGAAAAGATTTTAATATTAATAGATTGCTATAATGTTATTAGCTAAGACGTTACCACAAAAGACAGTTTCATCCTTCCCTAACAAATAATTTTAAAAACATTTCTGGATTTGTTCATTCATTATTTTGAAGTAGATAGGAAAGGTTTACATTCCGTTTGTCAAATCAACAGCTACACAGCATGGTCACATAGATGGCTCAAAGGTGTATGAATCATTCATTTGAGTATGTGCCTTCATCACAGAGAAGATGAGGAATGGCTGCAAGGCTTATATTTTCTAAGTCAGTAACAAATAATACACACTTTCTACACCATCGTCTCCGTTGTAGAAATACATACCTTGTACTAGTTTCCTTCCTGCCACGTCAAGGTAACTGAAGGAAATTATGACAGACAGTAAGCACCTGCCTCTGTGTCAACACTTAAATTTGCGAATACCTCCACCTGTGGGTGGAATGGACTAGGCAGGTCTTTTGATAAATCAGAAAACAGCTAATATAGGGTTTTGTGCTTCAGTCCTTTAGTCCTGTACTCCTGCAGCACACCGTATTATTTATGGTTCGCTGTCATACCTGTTGGTGAACAAGCTAAGCAGAATGCATATCAAGGCACCAAAACCATGAGTAGTCATGTCTTTTAGTGGGCAACAAATTCTGATAATTCAGTTACTATCCTACTCAAAAAGGTTTGTATTAAAAAAAAAAAAGTTTATAATGTCACTCCATGTCAATATTAAGCCTTTCTTTGGAATTTTTGATTAGGTCAACCCAAATTGCATTTTTTTGAGGCGACAGCTGCACTTAAGAAAAAAAAAAAGATGCTTTAGCTCGTAACAAGCATCAGTTCAAAGGACAGGATTGGTATGTTTGCTGAAAGAAAAGGAGATAAAGTCTTACCCTTTGTATTGCTCTTTGTAGGAACTCTTAAAATGTGTGATGTGGTAGCTGTACAGCAAAAGCCACAGAAAAGACTCAGCTTACTGGAAAGGCTAAGTTCAGAACACAGGCATTTATCTTACCATTTAGATCTTAGATGACTAAATATAGGAACATAGATAATAAATGTAGACAAAAAAAGTCAGTTCTAGCTATTCATATTAAAGAAATCTTCAAAAATTATTGCCAGACTGTTTACATTGGATTGTAAACACAAATAGCAGACTTTTGCTAATCCATCTCACCTTTCAAGCAAGAGATTTTTTCTTTAACGTGTGTATATATATATATGTTATAACAAACATAGAATATATATGTATCTATTTTCCCTCCCAAAAATAATATAAATGAATATAAAAATTTTACAGAGCTGTTCAGCATCTATGATGATGAAAAGTATCCTTCTAACAGCTACGTCTAACACCAGCAGCTCTCAGCTGGCAGCATTACTGCATCTTCAGAATCATTTAAAAAAAACCAGAAACACAAGTGATCTTCTGAAAAATGTGGAACAGCAACTGATTACTACTTCAATGGTAACTTTTTGAGATATGCTGCTTATTAGGGGTTTATACATATGTTATATTAATACACATAGAGAGACATATATACATATACATATATAAACACACACAGAGATATACCATTTCAGTTATTCCTGGAATTAAATAATGTTTCATCTGGTTTTTTTAACCTCTATTAAACTTTTTTGTTTTCTTAATTTGAGTCATAGGTTGACTAGGTCATTAATTGAAATACATGTTTATTAGTATGGTATGTATTGTTCTGTGGTTTTGTTTGTGCTAGGTTATCTGTGTGACATGAGCTACATAATTTAAGTCAGAAGTGAAATTTTAAGGATACAGTTCCCGTTTGTCTTATAGTTACAATTTGGTGTATCTGGATGTCAGAGTTACGCTATTTGTACACTTAAATCATTAATTCCATGTGAGTCTCACGCAGTACAGCCGAAGATGCCATTGTAGAGGACCCTTGCAATAGAGACTGATGCCACTATCTGGACAGCATCCAGTCAACCTGTTTGAGATACTTAGGTCCCCAAGCAAGAGTTACCCTATGAAAAGAGCCTGATTTTTTTTTTTTTTTTTTTTTTTTTTTTTTTGAGACAAACACTCTATCCATGTGTCTGGGCATCAGCTGAACTGTGATGCTGCAAAATAGATATTTAAAGAAACCAACCAGTAAAGTGAAAGTGTAATTCATGTATTCATAGTTCTGGAACAAATCATAGCTAAACTTTTCTGAGAGACAGATACTCTGTCTTTTGGCCTAAGCTGGCTGAGAACTGTGTATTCTTCAAAGGTCTGAGATCTAAAAGTGCATACCAAAACCAGCATTGGAAGATCCTAGGTTAGAAATGAATGATATTAAAAAGTCCCAGCAAGTTAGATACAAAGAATTAGTTGTAGCTGGCAGGGTTTAAGCATTTACAAAATGTGGCAAAAAGAGATAAAGTACAGAATAAGAAATGTATGTGTTTGCAGGCTAGTGATTTGGCTTTTCCCTATACATGCTGTGATTAGCAGAAGGAATAGGATAAGATTTGGTTTAGAAGACGCTGGTTTTGAGTTACTGTAATTATCTAACTGGTAACAGATCGCTAGCTGAAAACGTTCATCAATGCCCATCATGTCTTTACCTGTTGCAGTAGCTCAGGGAAGAAAAGGTGGCAATCAAGACATCTGATCATGGCTGCATGCTTGAACTGCATGATTCCAGGCAGCGTGATGCAAGAAGTCAAAGTGGTCACTGAAGTAGTTCTCTATGGGGGTATATTAGTGTCTTTTAAATTCCATTGAGATTTTTAGTACAGATCAGGAATGCACTTTCCAAGTGAATCTCTCAGTTGTCCTTGCTTACAGTGCTTTGATTTGCATCATGGTACAATGACTGCATGAGCTGGGTTCCTCTCACACAGAAACTGAACTGGATTCTCTGATGCACTCAAGCCACATTGTGGCCCATGAGTGGGCATTCAGTCCAGAGGGCCAGTCCAGAGGTATTCTGAGGTAAAAATCAGTGTACAGTGTATAATTCTGCTCCTGATGATCTTTGTCACTTGACAACATAGGTATACCCAGAGTGTACCCAGTGTGCTTAAGCACATAAAACTTCAGTCTGAAAAACACGTAAACACACATGCTTAAAGGCAGCAGTCTCTGGAGTGAGACTGTTCAGTCACTAGGAAGTTTGTGGTTGGTTTTGCCTGTATTTTCTCAGAAGGGGTTTTACATTCTTTAGTACAATATTTTTGTGGTGGGTTGGTCTTGGCTGGTTGCCAGGTGCCCACTAAGCTGCTCTATCACTCTCCCCCCTCAACAGGACAGGGGGAAAAATACAATTAAAAGTTCATGGGTCACGATAAGGACAATGCTATCAGGCACCCATAACTGTCACGGGCCAAACAGACTCAACCTAGGGAAATTAATTTATTGCCAGTTAATAACAGACTAGGATAGTGAAAAAGAAAAACAAAACTTCCCCCCTTCCCAGGCTCAGCTTCACTCATGGGCTGCAGGTTTATATCTGCTCCACCATGGATCTCCATATGCTGCCCGGGACAGCCTGCCCCACCATGGTCTTTACCACAGGCTGCAGGGGAGTCCCTTCTCCAGTGCCTGGAACACCACCTCCTCCTCCTCCTTCACTGACCTTGGTGTATGCAAGGCTGTTTCTCTCATGTTGTCTCACTCCTCTCTTCCTGCTTCTGTGCAGTGTTTTTACCCTTTCTTAAATACGTTATCACAGAGGTTCTACCAGCGTTGCTGAGAGGCTCACCTTTGGCCAGTGGTGGGTCTGTCTTGAAGCCAGCTGAAACTGTCTCTGTACAACATGGAGGCAGTTCCTGGTGTCTTCTTGCAGAAGCTGCCACTACAGCTGCCCCTGCTACCAAAACCTTGCCATGTAAACCCAGTGTAATTTTATATAATTCCTTTTGGTGAGGTGTCTATTCTTAAGAAAATGATGAAGGATTTTTACAAACATAAATATTACAATGAATTATTCTGCTCCCTTCCTTTGCTAATATTCTGCTAGCATTTGATAGCATTTTAACTTCACAGATAGTGTAGTGTCCAAAAAAGTAAGGTTATTACGAAGAGTGGAATAAGTTACAGTATTTGTAATTTGTTTTAAGTAATATTTAAGTTGTTCTGCACTCCACAAAAAAATCACAGAATCACAGAATGGTTGGGGTTAGAAAAGACCTCTGAAGGTCGTCTTGTCCAGTGCCCCTGCTCAAGCAGGGCCACCTAGAGCCAGTTGCCCAGGACCACATCCAGATGGCTTCTGAATATCTCCAAGGATGGAGACTCCACAACCTGCCTGGGCAGCCTGTTCTGGTGCTCAGTCAGTCACAGTGAAAAAGTGTTTCCTGTTGTTTGGACACAGTCCTGTCCTGGCACATCTGCTGAGTGTTCGTTCTGGCTTTTATTTTTTTTTAAATGTTAGCACCTTTTTTCCTAGAATTATTATCAATTTTCTGATGAAAGAATTGAGATTGGGGTGTATAAAATCTATGAAAATAATGGTACTTTTGCATTATTCTACAGGCATGGAGAAGTCTCTATATTCCTGTTGAGCATTTTAATATTATGGATGAATTGCTGCCTAATTTCTACATAATTATTCTCCAGCATTCAGAAGACAGGTACAAAATTTTATCTTTTTGGTTTAGCATTCTATTGTTTACGAATTTCATCTTTTTTTACCTGTAAATAATCACTATTTTGGTTGTTTAGTGCCTTGTACTTCTAATTTTGCTGGACTTGAATTTTAGGATAGTGAATAAATTAATATGTAAATTAATCTGCCTACAGCTCAAAGCTGTATGTTTTTCTGTACTTCTGATTTCCCTAATTATATCTTTACTCTCTAGAGGTCACTTGCAAGGTTTCAGGCCATTCTTGGTATCCTCTTAAATTCTGTTAGTAGTTTCCAGCTCTTACTGCTTATGCTCTTGAAAATGTTAGGTGGGGTCATATTTACCTTTATAAAGCCACAGATAATCTCATTACTGTAGCCTAATCAGCTACTACTCATAAATTGAGCTATAGTAACTGACTATGAGTACCTTCACCAACTGTGAAAAGTCTTAAACAATTGTCATGGAGTGAATAAAAATCTACCTCACTGGATATATAGCAATGAAAGAGCTTTCCTTATAGCTCTGTTTGTTCCAGTTAGATTTTGCAGGTTTTCGCACCCCAAGGTGGGGGTAAATACAGCATCTTCAGAGTATTTCTGAGCACATTAAATTAGAGGGTAATAATTACTTATCTAATAAATACACTTCTTATAAACAAGGCTGAAGAGCCAAATAATCTACTCAGCATTTTTCTGCTTTCTGTAGATCGAATTTGTACAGTTCATTGATTGAGAAGCCAAAAGTAAGTACTGCACAGCAAAAGGGAAAATCCACTCAGCCAATGGGTAAGTGCCTCTTACATTTAAGAGATAAAAATCGTTGCGTTGATGTTATGAGAAGGCTCGTATCTTTCATTGTTGCAGTCAGTACAATTTTTAAATAATTTGAAAAATAATTGTAACTCTTACTAATACTAGAGAAAAGTAAATGCCTAAGTACATGTGTTTTGTTGTCAGATATAATGTATCTAGTCACAATTTACAGAATTTTTGTTGATATTTGAAGGCTAAAGTTGTTATAGATACATAATTGTAGAGATTATTTTGATTGTACATTTCTGTATATATTTTGTGCTAAATATATATAAACAGTTATTTAATTTTCAAGGAACAGCATGGCTTTAGAAACTGATCGTCTCTGTACAATTATTTCTGCAAGTGCAAATATGATGTCTCAAAAAGAGTCTTAAGATGGTGTTCTCCTTTCAATAGTGCAAGCTAAAGTTTCTCAGTTTACTGTGAATCCTGATACATTCAGTATTTTGTTGGAAAAAGTGCGTCTTTACAAGCAGCAACAGCTGAAGAGTCACCTTAGACAGACTGTCATTCAAAACTTGCAAGAGGGTGTCTCCAAAACAGATGCGGTAATATATTTGATTACCTTGTATTTAAAATGGGGTGAAAAACATATACTAAAAAACACTCATAACCACAATATTCATAAACACTCTTTACCATAATAATCATAAACACTCTGTGCAGAATTTTCAGTTTATTCCAAGTGTAATGTCCCAAGTCTTCAGTTACTAAATGGTGTGTACTCTGCTTCAAAATTTAATCTTACTGTGTTATTCTGTTACTATTTTCAATGTCATTCAGCATCTGTAGTGTTCAGTGGATTATCAGAATTGAAAATTGATGCAGTTGAGATCAATTTACATGAAAATGTGCTGTACCTCTAAGATTTGCATTTGCAAATGTACATTGGCTTTCCTATCACATGAAAGCCCCAGCTGTCCCAAGAAAAAAAATGAGATCACAGATCTCAGCCCTTTAATCAAAATAGAACTATCTTAGCCAGAGATTTATTACTGATTTCCAGCAAAGAAAAGTTTTTTTCTAGGGCACACAATATATTCTACACTATAGCTCATTATTTGGACACAGTTGATTCAAGTCGGTTAGTCACAAAATTTTGCTTCAGGGACACATCTGATTGAAATTTCAAGTCTGTACCTGTGAACACTCTTAAATTCTAGATGATGAAAGTTTTATGTGACTGCAAGAATGCTTAGTTCTATAAGGACATTGTTTTCACAATCAGTGAGCAGAAGTGTACCATAAACGTACCCTGGAAAAGCGTGCAACTTTCACATAAGCTTTTAAGCTGCAAGGTGACAGAAAGTCTTCTACACATGAAATGTGCAAGTCTACATCCTAGCATTCTCATTTACCTTAATTTTGGCTCCATTAGATAAAATTCAGGTTTTTCGATATAAATGAAAATTCATTGTCTAATACAGCATATTAACAAAAGCTGGTATAGACCTATTTCCATCATTAATATAAATGTAAAAACTATAGATTATTCTGAATTTTCTGTACGAGTTTTCATTCTTTTAATCACACAACTTCGACACATCTGGTTCTTGAGTTAGAATTCTGTTTTATTCATCATGTTAGCTTCTTTCAGTTAAAATATTAATTATTGCACATGGTTTAAGTGTTGATCACTTTTTTTCTTGTCCATGACCAGCCTTTGTTGTAATGGAAAGTTATAGAAAGATTGCTGTAGCTGCGTAAGTAAAGAAAATGGTGATAAGATAATGTGAGATAGAACAGATGAGAAAAAAAAAAGTGGCTTAGGCTTTCAAAATGCATGTGCATTACAACTTTCAATAACTATCATAGGATGGTTTGGGTTGGAAGGGACCTTAAAGATCATCTAGATCCAACCCCCCTGCCATGGGCAAGGACACCTTCCACCAGACCAGGGTGCTCAAAGCCCCATCCAACCTGGCCTTGAACACTGCCAGGGAGGGGGCATCCAGCAGCTACTCTGGGCAACCTGTGCCAGTGTCTCACTGCCCTCATATTAAAGAATTTCTTTCTTATACCCAATCTAAACCTACTCTCTTTCAGCTTGAAGCTATTACCCCTTGTCCTATCCCTCCATGCCCTTATAAAAAGTCCCTCTCCAGCTCTCTTGTAGGCCCCTTCAGGTAGTGTACAGCTGCTATAACGTCTCCCTGAAGCCTTCTCTTCTCCAGGCTGAACAGACCCAAGTCTCTCAGCCTTTCCTCATAGCAGAGGTGCTCCAGCCCTCGGACCATTTTTGTGGCCCCCCTCTAGCCCCGCTCCGCCAGGTCCGTGTCCGTCCTGTGCTGAGGGGCCAGAGCAGAGTAGAGTGGCAGAATCACCTCCCTTGACCTGCTGGTAACTCAGTTAAGCATGCAACCTGTACAGAACCACACCAACAGAGCTTTGGGTGAGAAGTCCATTTCCTAATACCAGCACTCTTCACCATTTAGTAGAGCTTGTTTTTCCAGTTAGTGTCTTTATGTCCATCTATATTGGCTTTTAGGAGCTTCGGTTTTTAGTGTCATCTCCTACATGATTCTGTTCTCTCCTTACTGATTTTCTTCATTCTGTTTAGTTTTTTTCCTAAATTGACTCCTGATCTCTCCATATGCTTTCAGTTCTTTCTTCTACAGTCATCTTGTAGTTTCTGTTTACTTCTCAAAGTTGTCCTTTCACAATTTCTTCCTGCTATTTGGAGAACCACATTATCTTTTCTTTCTGCTGGACTTCCCTGCCATTCCCCACTGAAACTGCAGAAGTATATTAATCGCTTAAATAATAAATATTGACATTTTGTACTGATTCCTATGTTAGAATATTTTGCAGAATGCTGATAGGAGTGATGTTTTGTAGTAAAGTAGTTTGGAAACTGAGTGTCTATGTTAATATTTTCCATTCTATGAGGTATCAAATGCTTTGTCTTAGTCTCTGATTTAACATAATACACCCTCCATCCTTGATAAATAGCATTTTGTAAGTAACCTGAGTTTTGTTGCAATGTCTGTGACAGACTCCAGCAGAGAAAATGGATGACAATGGACATGATTTGACATCAGATTTCTCTGAAATATTAGAAATTATGGAAGAATATCTGAAACCGGTGTTGTCACAGTGTGATTTTTCCAATATCAGGTAAGACATTTAGGTTGTTTTATCATCATCTGTGAAAACAGAATGGTGACTCAAGTTCTACAATTACAGGAGTGGTTTGAGCAAGAATAGACCCCGTTGAATTAACTTTTTACATCTTGAAGGACAGTATATGCGGGATATGCAAGAATAAGAGAATTGAAGCACATGATATACTGATGGCCATCTCTAACAAGCAGTGTTCTGCAGCTTATGTTGTACAATATTAAATTCAGGATTAAATGTAATTTAACTAGTTAAGGATGGGATTTCCAAAGGACAGGAACTCCAAAGGGAGTACATCCTTTGTGTAGAATTTCATTGAAGTTGAAGCACTTACGTCTGTGTTTCTTGTGAAAACTTTTACTTAGATAAGTATTAGTGCCGGTAATATTTTCGCTGTAATTCTTCTTCACAGAGAACAGAGCACATCAGTTTCAGCAGCTGAATCAGGAAAAATAAAAGTGAAAGAAAACGACACCAAACACACTAGAAAGCAGGGTATGTGCTCTCTTGAGTACAATATATGTGTGTGTGTGGGGACAGATATCAAAATCGTGCCATTTTACCTTCATTTTTTTTGAAACCAGTGAGAAGAAGAAGGCTTTAGCAACGTTTTTGTCTGTTTATTTTCTATATCAAGTCAAGTATTTTAGTATACTTCCAAAGAGTTTATATGCTGCCTGGAGCTATCCTTCTGCATGTATTTACAGCCTTCCAAACTCTACAGGCTTTAGACAGCTAAATAAAATGTTTTTATTATAAACCAGTCTTTTCAGGAGAAAGGCTAAAAGAAAGAACTTTAAGTCTTTTGATCTCTTTGTTTTCTCTTTTCCTGTTTTTTACTTTATGGACTCTCACAAGTTTCTTGCTTTGATGCAAGCCTAATGCTGGAATATGTCCCTAAACATGTTCCAAGAGAAGAGGCAATCAAGTCCATGGCTTGCTTTGGGAATGAGTTTTTTTTAAGTTTCTCAATTAAAAATTACTAAAAAAAGATATACGTTTGCTTTTGCCTGCAAGGGTTTCTGCAATCTGGCAGCTGGCTGCTTCTGTCATTCTGGAAAGACTGAATAATTTGTCTTCCATGTATTTGTTGGTTCTCTGTAGAACAGGAAAATGTTGTCATAATGATATTCAGTATTTTTTTTTTTTCCAAATAACAGAAACAAAAATTTTCCTACACAAAGGCACAGTTAGTATTAGATAAGAGCTCCTTTGAGGAGATTGACAACACGGACTCCGATATCCAAATCGAAGACCCTTTATTAATCAGAAAGCTGCATTTTTTTACCCTTGCAAAGCTGTCCACACGCTCCAACCTAAATGCTTATTGGTTAACGTACATTGTTCATGCGCCTATTCTAAACATTCGTTTGGTTAGCTTAACTGCGCATGATTTCTCTTTTGTTACTATGTCTTGCATTTTACAAGCTTCAGCCTCCTTCCATTGCTCTGGGAGTTCTGCCAAAGTCCTCTGTTGCAACTGATAACTTCCTCATTTTCTTTTGTTCAAAAACTTTCAAGGACATCATGACCTTCGTTGATATAGAATGTTTCCACAGTACTCGGCTCTTTCGGCACATCCACAAGTCCTGTTTACTTCTGCATTTTTCTCTTCTGTTCATTACAGCAACCTGCTTTTGTCCCATTCCTCTACACTCCTTTACAACTCTATACTGTTTACTCAAATGCTGCTGTGACAATTTTGCATTTCCAAACATCATTTTCTTGAATACATTGCATACACCTGGACTTCAATCTGAGATGCTTGGTTATTAATATGAAGAATCAGTGCTCACAAGTGCATATGCATAAAAGTTTGGCAACATCTTAGGAGTAATGGTATCAAGAGCATTATTTTTGCATAATGCACTTAATCCACAGTAAAATGGAGTTTAGGTGTCGTAAAATAGAGGAAATTTAGGTTTTTACATCTAACTTCAATGATTTTTATACGTACTGAGAACTACTAAATCTCAACTATGTTCTGTAACATTTCTTCAGGTGCACCTATGGATTTAGGATTGTGTGTGGTATTACTAGCAGATGCATTATTTATGGAATTGCCTTTGGAAGCTCTGAGTGTCTTCAAAGAGGAAGGAGTAAGTTCTGTATCTAGAGATTTTTCTCTCCAGATTCTCTCCAATCGATTACATCTGACTGCATCAGGTACTATTAGATAAACATTCTTTGCATTCGCATAATGATGCACTGAACAAGATACTTAATATTTAAATAATATGAATGTTTTATTAGGTTGTACTCGAAGACTGCCACATACAATAGGTTTCCAGTATTTTAGATGGAATAGATAGTACAGTAGACTTCAGTAATGTACAGGCTGGTTATAGTTGTAGTGCCAACTAATCTAAAATAACCTCTACATATTAAAGGATTGTGTAAAATGTGGTGGAGTTTAAATTGGCTTGCAAAGTTTCAGTTCATACAAGTATGGTCTTAAACTCTTTAAAGCTGTTTTCAGCTGCACTGAAAAAAATGAAATAAGAATTTAGACTTCTGTTAATTTTATTTAATATTAGTGTAAGACTTTGCTCAAAATATGAAACGTAAAAAACTTTTAAATCATTGACCTACTTCCTCTCTGTAAAGCTAAGATTACATTAAGGGCTCAGGTCAATCCAGTAACTCTTGCGCTATGCACGAGCAAAATCGGATCCCACAGGCTTCATGGACTTCTTTCGTTACTGCAGACACTTGCACCCTATATAAACTCTTAAGTGAAATGGGTTTGTTGAGTGAGGTAGTTGGACAGTTGGTAAACTTGTCCATATGGCATCTTAAAATTATTTATTCTAAATTCTTTATTCTAAAAGTCAGTAATAAATGCAGGCACTAAGCAGTTTCTTGTATAAATCAAAGATGCCTTCTGTTACTGAAGTTAAAGATTTGAAGTCATGCAAAGATAAGATTTTGCTCATGCAAAGATAAAAACACATTTTAACTCAATTTAAATTAATGAAACTAGGGGGCCTAAGATAACAAATAGGCTAGGTTTAGAAGAATATCACTCCGTACCATTAAATTATTCTGTTCTGGAGAGGTTCTTGTATTATGTTCCTATCTGTAACATTTAGCGCCTTCGGTATAACCTGTGCTCTGTTTTTCCATTTCGCCCATCCTTTCTAAAGGGAAATAATTGTGAATAATCTGAGATTAGAATATTTTTAGTCTACATAGCCATTCATATACTGTTACAGGTCTGTTAGAAATAGGAGTTTTAGAAAATGTGGGCGTTTTTTTTCCATTTCTGCTTTTCCGTTTTTTAAAGTAAACTTCTTATGGTTGTATAATTTTAGAAGCAGATGAATGAGAAGAAGCATAGTTCATGCAATTACTAACATTACCCATATGAGCAGTAATGCATATCTCAAACTTCCACCAACTTGCAATGCACTCCAGTGAGAACTGGCTGAGATGCGTATTTTGGGTGACAGTCGTATATACAGTGAGAAATTTAAGTCAGTTTTCTGTGCTTTTAAAAAAATCTCTTAAATAAAAAATCAAATTCAAATACGAAAATTTCTTTTTCCTTTTGATCTCTGCATGTCTCTCAGAAGCTTCAGTTATGCCAGTAACATCAACAATGAATAGATATGGCAACAGGCTTAGAAAGTGCTTTGGTAATCACAGTTCAACTCTGTCTTAAATCTGCAATGTAATGAAGCATTTGCATGTCCAAGGGATCACATCTCTTGCTTGTTTTCCACTTTCAAGCCATTATTTTTAGGCAAGAGGGTTTGGGGAATGTCCTTGCCTTGCTGTGTGATGTGAAACTAGTTTTAATTTGTTATTATTACATCATAACAAATATAAGTAGTCCTTCAAGAAAGTTCTATTTTCTAAAACCGCCCATATGTTTAAAAAAACCTGTTCTTTTCAATTCTACAGAGACTCAAGTTAAAACAGATATTGAAATGTCTAAAGAAACAAAACCAAAAGCTCATCAGAAAAAGAACGTCAAAATGGTGAACTTTCCACATTTTTAAGTAAACTAAATAGGACTAGCTCTTCTTTTTGTGTAAAAAATGTTAAAAAACTACAAGTGACTTGCAGAGAAGCTCATTATATATGCTAGAAATCTGAAGTGGAATAAATATTGCATAAGAGTTTTGCTGCTTATTGATTTTGCAATAATAACAGAGTAGTTGTTTCTTTGAAGAACCATACTCTCTGTGTAAGTGTGACATATTTAACAGCTCACCAAGAGAGCTGTTTAAAGTCACTGAAATGCTTCCCCCAACAATATAGTATGTTTTATATAGTGTACGCACAGATTTTTATAAATATATCTGTATACATGCACACACACATGTGTATATATATGTAATGTATGTATATGCATTGTAGATAATGCAGAATAGCTTATGCTTTTAATTTCCATTGACAATTGAGTATCATGTTGCTTTCAGTCCTGCCTTCAAAACTTTGGGACATCTTTTTGTTGTTGTTTGACACAAAGAATGCAATACTGTTAGTATTTGATTGAGACTACTGCATGTAGTAGAATATGTATTCTTTTTAATTGTAGGCACCAATTAGTCGTGATTTACCCTCTAATTGCTTGCCTGTTGGTACTCATGATTTTAAATGTATCCTTTCACAAACTATTAGCTGACTTAAACTTTCTCTTTTGCTGTTTACATTGCATTGTTTACCCTTAATTGTTTATCAGATATTGTGGACCCTTACAATGAAGGAAGAGAGGCAGGTAATATAAAGTAATATTTTGTCTACAACTACCCATAGAATTTAGAAATTTTTGTAACAGAAAATGAAGTCATGACAGCAAAATGTTGACAGAAAAGCTTAGCTTTTTGTCAGAACAGTATTGCTTATCACCTGTGAAATGGTGCATCAGTGAAACAATATAACCAGTTTCAGGTTCAGGAGAGAAGTTAGACTATCTTATTATTTCTTTCATATCACTAAATATTGACCTGGTATCACCAAGAAAATAATTACTTGGGTAATCTTTCTTACTAGGTAATCCAATTAAAAACACATGCTTACTTTCACTAACCTGTTGTAGCATTTTTAATTTTTCAAATATATGCCATTAAGATACAACATCAGTAGTGCAGGGAAGGATATAAGTTGACTGAAAGGATATGATGCTTTGTATGATCTTCTTTATTATACAAGAAATGTGCTTGAAAGCCATGAATGGGCTTGCAACAAACTACTGGGTGGGAATGAACTGGGACAGGAATAATTGGACTCACCACACCTATACAGCATTCTCAGGCTAAAGACTACAAATAAAAGACTGTGTAACACGTAAAGTTTTTGCAGTCCTTTGAAAGGTGAAGGATACTGTGATAGACACAAACAGCCCTATAAGAATATTTGAGAGTGTTGTTATTTCCTTTTGGAATGTATTTATCAAGGCAATAGGCATTTACTGTATTAGAATAGAATAGAATGTTTTCAGTTGAAAGGGACCTACAACAATCATCTAGTCCAACTGCCTGACCACATCAGGGCTGAGCAAAAGCTAAAGCATGTTATTAAGGGCATTGTCCAAATGCCTCTTAAACACTGACAGGCATGGGGCATCGACCACCTCTCCAGGAAGCCTATCTAGTGATTGAACACACTCTCACAAAAAAAATGTTTCCTGATGTCCAGTTGGAACCTCCCCTGGCGCAGCTTTGAACCATTCCCCCACGTCCTGTCCCTGAATCCCAGGTAGAAGAGCTCAGCACCTCCCTCGCCATGTCCCCTCCTCAGGAAGATGCAGAGAGCAATGAGGTCGTCCCTCAGCTTTCTCCTCTCCAAACTAGACAAACCCAGAGTCCTCAGCCACTCCTCAGAGGACGTCTTCCAGCCCTGTCACCAGCTTTGCTGCGCTCCTTTGGACGTATTAATTCAGTCTGCCACAAACACTTTAATAATAGAATTTTACTTCATTTTTTCTCCCCGTGCATGCAATAGTTTAACTGGTTCACATTCATTAACAAATTCAAATGTATATCAAATGCCAAAAATTGATGTAATGGAAGTTTTTAATAGAGATAGTTATGAAATCTAAACACAAAAGAAGCTACTGAACAATCAGTAGCATAATAGAGTATGTCCCCATATGTTTGCAGTTTCTCCTTCACAGCAGATCAAAATAAAACACTGTTTACCGTGTGCTCAGTATCTGGCTCTAGAGTGTATCCGTAATTTACAGCAGTATGAAAATGTAGTCAAAAAAGAGAAAGTGAGTTATTGTTAATTATGCAGTGCCCTGGGAGGGGGTTTGGTCTCTTACTTTCAGAAATCGGGGCTCTGGAAACTCGGTTAATATCTCCATCTACTGAAGTCCTCTCTGAGCCACTGGAACAGAACTGTATGAGCAGTGCTGGTGTTTTCAGCTCTTTACACTTTCCTCAGGGTATCTAGAATTTTTTCTTTGTGCTCTTAAAGTCTGTCTTTTTAACCTGTCTACCAAATAATCCTTGTCATCTATAAAATACACCTTTCAAGTGGGAATTACAAACAATTTTATGCAGAAAATGTCACAATTGCTAGTTTTAAAAGCTAGACTTCGGTTTCAAAAAACTTCAGAACCGACGATGGCCTACAAAAACCTGAGTTGTTATATTGTCATTTTAAAATGCTTGGCATTAAGATTGTCCAATGTCCTTTGTAGCATATTAAGCTCATAATGATGAGATTCTATTGTTACAGAAGCTTTAAGTCCTTCCCAAAAAATAAAGGAAATCCTAGAAAAATACCATGACCTGTTTACACTACAGTGGGAAGGAGTTGTTGGCAACATACGCATTCCAAGGTTTGTAATACTCTATCTGCTGTTGTGTTTTAGCCATGTTTCTTTTTCAAAATTGTGGCTATTCCCAGAGGCTTCAGTCACAAAACAGGGTCACGTTTTCCTGAGCTGGTAAACACATAGCTAACCACTGTGTCTGTTTCAAACACGTATTTAGATTTGTAGACTGAATAGTTTAGGGATCTGAAATACAGTGCCACAAAGTGATTTAGCCAGATCAGTGGCATCAGAGTTGCTGTATATGTAAATAATCCAATTTTGACAAAATATCTACTGTTGCATTCTTTGATGAATATTACAAGTATATGGAAGCATAAATGCAATTTCCGGCTTTGCTCGTGACTGTTTTTAAATCCAAGTACGGAAAACTATAGCATATCCATGCACATAGAGTCAACTGTAAGATTGGAGCAGAGATTTTAGAAGCACAGTAGTGAAGGTGCATCTCTCAGTTCACAATTTCAACATCTGATTGTGAAACTAATACCATTTTATGGAGTTCATCCATAAAAACACTTTGTTCTTTACAGAAGTACTTTACTTTTAAGATCATAGAAATAGAGGGATAAGAGGGATCTCGAGGGGTCAAGCAATGACAAGTCCTGTGAGCGAGGCAACACAGTCGTCATTGGACCTTCCTTTGTAACTGCTAGTTTAATCAAGCCTTTGAAATCTTCTTAAGTAAAATTATTGTGTAGGTACTCCAGTGTTTCTTCATAACAATAGAAATATTGTTACCTGTTATCAAATTGCATAGTTTTTGCTGCCATCTAGGCTGATTATTCGCATCTTTTTTCAAAACCTAATTTCTTCATATCCTGGTGGATGCATACATGAATACTCCTCCCATTGAGTGTTAGGCTAAATACTGTTACTTCAAAGATGTACAATGCATACATCGAATTTTTTTTTTTTTTTTTTTCGAGTCTGGTATTTATCTAAAAATACACTATACCTCTTGTTTCCTATGAGATGTTACTAAACTAAGTATACCTCTTAATTAAAATAATTAGTAGTAGTAGTTCATAAGAGTTGTTACACTTTTCGTGGAATTCTGCAGTCTTGTTTGTCTCCTTGCTTTGCATGCTGACTTTTCTTATGCATATTTCTGGAGTAAATAACGCTGAAGGTTTGCTATGGATATTTTCTGAAAAATATGATTGTAAAATAACACAAGTAATGTCTTTTCTTTTATTCTTCCTTCCTTTCAGCCAAGCTGAATGGGAGCAGCTGCTGACAAACTGCAGTGCGTTTCTGTTCTATGGAATGGAGAGATTCATGTCTCATATTTTACTCAACAGACTGGTTGCTATGAACATCCCAAGTGAGATAAGCAAACTGGAAAATATTTTTTTCATTATACCACCTTTTGTTCCCAGTTGTGTTTATTTCATACTGTATCATTATCACAGTATTAATGTTAGCAACTAAGGGCTTTTTTCAAGATCCAGGATTTTAATCAGAAAAACTTTGCATTATGTGGATTTTATTCTGTTGCATAGCTTTCTTGTTATTCCTCACAAAGAAGTTTAGTCCTTCTCCACTTCCAAATGTTGGAATTTCTAAAGTCCTAAAAACTGAGTCATCATCTGATGGTTTTCCCAGTAACTCCTGTCCCTTTCTATGGCATTTGGCTTTTGGTAACAAAATATTTTTTATTGTTAAGAACAACCTCTGCAGTACCACTTCTCCAAAATTCCTCAGTCTTCACTCAAGCAAAGCAGAATTGTCTGTCAAAACTGGGTTAATGATGAATGATTACTCTGGTATTATGGAGCATTTGTAGACTCTGAGAAGGTTTGAGGGTTTTTTTCTATGCTTCTTCACAACTAAGTAGTCTTTCTGGTGTTGTAGCATAAGGACTGTTTTTTTGGATTCACAGTCTTCCTTTCTCCTGTTCCCCTTGCACATCTGGAAGAAGCTCAGCTTTGGAGTTGTGCTGAATTTGTCGGAGTAGCTGAATTGCTGGCTTCCATCTGTATTGTTTTGAGATGTAAAACTGAGGACAGTACACATCAGGTTGTTAAGCCCTGCAAGTAACAGGAAGTTCTTCAGGAAGCATTGATTTTCAAAGTGATTTAAACATGTGTATATAAATATTACTGGAAATCAAGAAAATATGTTTTCCTGTATGTATTGCTCGCTCTTGAAAATGAGGTTTCAGATGTCTGTAGGGCAGATATTTAGAGGTCTGGCAACTTCTGGAAAGTTCCCGAGTGCCTTGTTAACCCTCACCCTGTGTTCTGCTCTTAAAATATGTCAGGATTATTTCTCCAGTGCATCTTATTTCCTTTGATGGAGAATAAACTAATTTCAAATGTATTCATTTTAGTCCTCAAAGGATTGTTCTATTTTCTGAACACCTACACAGCTTTTAGCTGGTAAAATTACTGTTGTTTTGCAGATTGAATTTGAATCTATTGTAGAACCAATCTTCATGTTAAAAGTACTTTTATTAATAACTATGAGCTGTGTCTGAGGTTTCTGAGGGCTCTAACCTGGACCAAATATTATTAAATATTGTTGCTGGTCATTTTCATGATGAAATACAAAGTATCATTGCTGAATCTGGGAATGAGACCAGGCTGAGAAAGAGAATGAGGTGGTTCAGCAACTCCTGAAATGCAGGATTAGAATGCAAATTAACCTTGCTTTATGGGGATAATTAGCAGGGAGTCATTCAGGAAAGGTTAGAGGGAGGTGTTACGCTTAAGCAGAAATAATCAGTTACACATTAGTAAGTGAGGGAATGATTGCTTAATGGGCATCTACAGAATAGAGTCAAGAGGTGGATCACAAATTAAGCAACATCATCTTGCTAGGAGAAAAAAACCCTAAGCTCTGTATAGGGGTAACTATACAGGAGCATCATTTGCAAGATACATGAAATAATTCCCCACCCTACTTAGTTTTGCAAAGGTCTCAGCTGGAGAAGAATATTGACCTTATTGAACTTATTGAATAAGTTACTGATTGAGAATATCAAGAGCGGTCAGAAGGCTACACTACAGATGTGTGCATAGTTTTATTAGGAAATATGTATGGGCATTCATACATCTATATGCATGTAAGACATACTTTAGGAGGAAAGATTGACAGATGGAGGGGAGACATGATAATATTTCTCAAGTATGTCAAAGGCTTTCCAATCAGAAAAGTAATTTACTTCTCATCTGCTTGGGTCAGGAGAATAAGTAACAGGTGGAAGCCGCAGCAAACCAAACAGTAGGAAAAGCTTTTTAAATCTGAGAGTGTTCTAAGTTATTTCACTGGGGGCACTTAAGGAGAGTAAGGAATGTTTGAGATGTAACTTGGTCCTAACTTGTGGGGAGGAACTGCGATAGATAACATTTCCATAACTCCATCTTACAAGAGTTTATAACTATAGAATTGAGTCATATAGGTCATTAGTCTGTAATAAGATGGTATGTGGACTTCATTATTAGTTATACTAAGGTGGCACAGGAAACAAACCTGCAAAACACTGTGGAAAACTGTAGCAAAGGTAGTCAAATGATGTTAGGATGACTTTATTAGCATTCTTTTGCTTAATACTTGACAGTTTTGGCTGAAATGTATAAATTTAATATTAGTTGTTTAGACTGTGTTCAAGAAAGTAACTTAAGAAAGACACAATTTGCTTATATTTATTATGTTGGGCATTATTATTAGGGCAAATACCATTGCTATAACATTTTTTTTTCCAGAATGCCATTTGATGATACTTCTAGATCTGGTGCGATCAAAGCAAAGTTTTCAAAGAATTGCAAGCTCTGATATCCACAAAAGGTAGGATAAAGTTTATTTTGGTGAAGTCCAGAACAGGGCAGAGGATTTTTATTTCAAAACAAAATTAAAATTTTGAGTTATAAATATTCTCATTCTGCATCTAGAAGGGCTCATATCTACGCCTAAGGGAGAAGTTAGCTTCCTTATCTTGTAGCTTTGTTCTTTAAATAGGGCTAAATAGAATGAAAGCTGTATTACAAGGCAATGGTCAAGAAAATATGACACAGAAATGTTGCTACATTACACATACCTCCCAATCTGAGTTCATGATTCTCAGAATATTCTAACTAAACATATAAAACTTCCCTTTAACAGATAAGCTGTTAAGAGTCTGTCTAAGGTATGTTCAAACTGTTCATACACTGAACAGTTTAACAATAAGCCAGTTTTTTTTTTTTTAAATAAATTATTGTGGCAAGTTACATTTTAAATGACCTGTTCAGAATCTTTAATTTTATTAATTAGAGCTTTTTTAGCCTTGCTTATAAATTGACAGGTGGCAGGGTTTCTATACTTTTATTGTATGTCCATTATGAATTCTTGGCAAATGGCACCCAGCAAATAACTTTTAAGTTATTAAAGGCAAGAAGAATAGTTTTAGTGTCCTAATCTTATTCATGAGTTATTTAGTTGAGGCTGAATTTTCAAATAACCCAATTATACTCTCAAGGGACAAGAGGCCTTGCAGAGGGATCTAGATAGATTGGAGCTTTGGGCAGTCATTAATGGCAGGAAGTTTAACAAGTGCCAGATTCTGCATCAGGGACAGCGTAACGCTGGACACAAGCGTAGTTTGAGAGGAGTGGCTGGAGAGCGGCCCTGCAGAAAGGGATCTGGGGTTGTTGGTCGGCAGCAGGCTCAACAGGAGCCAGCAGTGTGCTCAGGCAGCCCAGAGGGCAAACTGCATCCCGGGATGCATCAAACACAGTGTGACCAGCCAGTCGAAAGAGGTCAAAATGAATGTGTCTAAGATAGGTTATATGCACATCTACATATGTAAATATGCAGATCTCTGAGTGTTTAAACAACCTCCTAGGGTTTTTATATTTAATATTGTTTTTGACCTCCCCACAAACAGCGATTTCCTAAATCAAACTAAAATGTGATTCCTTAAACTAGTTTTTCTAACTCTGAACTTTTGAAGTCTCACTTTAATAGATTGGTGAATTAATCAACAGGACTTACATATTTAAGCCTAAAAGCTTCCAGAAGGTTTAGAATAACATTCAGTTAAAACCAAGTCACATAACTTCATAGACTATTACACAGCATCTCCCCAAAAGATTACAGAAAACTTTAGCTATCATCTTCATATAAAGTTACCATGAAAAGCAGATGCTAATCAAAACAAAATTCAGCCTTTAGTTTACTGCAGTTCCAACCCTAGAAAATATCATTCCCCTCCCATCAATAAAACAAGAATACCAAAGATATTTATTTAAATATTCAGCAGTAAACAAATATAATCCCTCTTTACAAGTGATTTACTTTTAAGCCTCTGAATTACTGCCATGCCTATGACAAAGAGCAAGCTTTCAGTTCCTACAATATTTTATGTTTCCCTTTAGCACCTTAAGCAGAACTAAACAAGTCTTTTCACCTGATTCCTAGCCTTCTGGCTATATTATAAAGGGTATTCTGCAGTATTTTGTAAAAGTTACTGTATTACTGCTCCTTTCAATTTCCTGAGATGCCCAGAACAGTAATATGATAGAGAGTGATCCACATGGTAAAACTGCATCATGAAAAGATATAGAAAGTTATCTAAATTCTTTGTATTAAATTTAAGATGCTGTATGAATAAACACTGATGTGTGAAGTGAAAACACTTGATGCTCAGCATAAAAGAAAATGCAGTTTGACATTCCCTCTCCCCTTCTATTAAAAAACATTGTACATTGAGTTATATTTTTTGATATGTTATGTACATTTTTAGTCTATTGATCTCATACTTCTGATTTTCTTTAGTGGTCTGCGTATTGCTGTAGAGAGACCAACAGAGTCAGCAATGCTTCTAAGCCTTACTGGTGTTCGTTCTGTAATAACCAACCAGTGGTACAGTACCTTGCAAGAGAATGCAGAAAGGCTAGACATTTTGTCTGAGAGTAAGTATTTGTGTTCGTCTTTGTTTGCATGTGTATTATTTCAGACATTTGTATGCGTGCGCTCATGGAGTGTGTGTATCTACTTGTCTCCCATCTCTCTTTGCTCCTCATGAAATTTTGTGTGGTGTTTCCATGGGAGATAAACTGCATGCAGGAGCCGCCATGTGGTTGACAGGTTGATCTTTCAAAACAGAAATCAGTTTTAGTGGGGGGATTGTTTATGGTCATATGGTAAGAATAGAATTTCTATGGTGAGGAGCAGCGCCCTAGGACTTGGCAATCCGTAGTTACATAAACTATGGCAAAAACAAAAGCTGGAGATAACTCACATGTTCAGAGATACAAAACTCAATCTGTAAAGGCATTTTAAATGTGAAGACACCAGGCTGTATGGCTGTTTTCTTGTTTTTCAAAACTTTTAATAAAAACTCACAGAAAATAACATTTCTTTCCAGATTTGTTGAGCATTGGTAGAACAACTGGGCAGGCAGTCCGTATTCTTCAAAAGAGCAAGATTCACAGGGAAAGGGATTCCATTAAAAGTAAGAATTAAAAAGCTTAGTATAAAAGACTGGCAGTGCATATTAACTGGATCCTGGTAGACCTATGGATGGTTCACAGCTCTAAGTGAAATCTTTCAGATGAGCTGTGACAAATTTTTGTGACACTTACAAGAATTGAGAGTGGGAAGACCACTGACATAGTATTATAATTGGAGTAGTTGTATTTTACGTATATAACGTTTGGAGGGAGACTGTCATAGCTGACCAAAAGCTAAAATTTATGCTCCACTGAACTGTTATAGAATGAAGTAGTGTGTCTGAAAAGTCGTATCAGGAGCATGACATGAACAATGTAAATCATATGGATTATAAACTGCAAAAATATAAATTCAACCTGCAGTGATTCAGCTGTCTGCGTTATAAAGGGCACACTATATGTACAAAATTCTGCTTGGCATCTTGTGGGAGAGGGGAGAGGTTTTTTGAGTAAAACAACTTTTTGTATACTGTTTATAAAATTATATTACATAGATATTTTTCATTGTATGGGAATTACCTCTTAAAACAAGGGTAAATAAAATAAATTTTTTTTATAACTCACACTGTCATAGAATTGAAGAGGGAGAGAGATCAGAAACGCTGTGTAGTTTTCTGTTTTTTTTCAGAAAACGCTTCTTGGATGTAGTGGCAGGTATTAATATTATAAAAAGAATGTAAATGTTCCGTCTGAACATGAGGAAGAACTTCTTCCCTCTGAGGGTGA